ATTTCCTTTTGTAATAAACAATTTTCTAACATTGCCTCCAAACATTTTTTCTTTTATATACATTTTTGTAAACCTTTGTTTTAGAAAATCTAGACTATTCGTGATATAAATCTTAAATCATTATTAGAAATGTCAACTATTACATAATAGTTAAAGTATTTTCTAGTTTCAGTGAATTTCCTTTTATAATAAACAATTTTCAAACATTGCCAACAAACATTTTTTCTTTTATATACATTTTTGTAAACGTAAACTTTTCTTATAAAAAAAAATCACACTATTTGAGATATAAATCTTAAATCATTATTAGAAATGTCAACTATTACATAACAGATAAAGTATTTTCTAGTTTAAGTGAATTTCCTTTTGTAATAACGAATTTTCAAACATTGCCTCCAAACATTTTTTTCTTTTATATAAATTTTTGTAAACGTAAACTTTTGATATAGAAAATCCACACTATTCGTGATAAAAATCTTAAATTATTATTAGAAATGTCAACTATTACATATAACTATAACAGATAAAGTATTTTCTAGTTTAAGTGAATTTCCTTTTGTAATAACGAATTTTCAAACATTGCCTCCAAACATTTTTTCTTTTCTATAAATTTTTGTAAACGTAAACTTTTGATATAGAAAATCCACACTTAGACTATTCGTGATATAAATCTTAAATCATTATTAGAAATTTCAACTATTAAATAATAGATGAAGTATTTTCTAGTTTAAGTGAATTTTCATTTGCAATTAGCAATTTTCTTACATTTTCTCCCAACACAAATATATATAAAATGTTTGTAAATGGGAAATTTTGGTATAAAAAATTCTTATGTTACATCCACAGTATTCCTAATAAAAGTCCTAAATCATCCGTCAAATATTATATAATAGTGAAAATAGTATTGATACATTTAATATTTTTACCGAATTTTCATATAAAGAGTGTCCCAAAATTAACGCAAGTTTTGAATTTGCGAAAAAAATTTGTGAAAAAAAATGAAAATATTGTCTTTAAATGAAACAAATATTTTGTGATTTAATTTTTAGTATTTTACA